TTTTTTACGTTCTTACGGACATACTTACATACATATATTACATGTATTACAGGGAAGGGAAAGAAATTAAAATATATTAAAAAAAAATCTTATATTTTATTTTTAAACTCGATACAATTCCTTTTGGCGTTGCGACCACCAGTTGTATATTTTAAATACATTTTGTAACGTAAGCAGGGACGGCACATTTACCATCTTACGCGATCGACCACAAGGGGCACTCATTCAGCCGTCTAACGGCATAGAGTTATTATGTTTCACATAATAAACGCCCGCACACACACGCACGCACGCACGCACACTCAGACTCTCTCTCTTTCTCTCTTTCTCTCTCTCTCTCTCTCTCTCTCTCTGTCCTTACCTTGCAGAGATTCGTTTTCTTTATGCATCGTAACTTGATGGATAAATTTTCTCGAGTTAAAATTTTGCTTCTACTTTGAATCATAGTTTTAGGACGTACGAGTATGTAGCTTTTAAAGATTTATAATTAGGACGTATGTACAGCCATTGACAAAATTATTAGGCACCTTATTTATTTAACAATTTCTTCAATTTATAAGGAAATAAATAACACTATCTTTATAAATGTTATCATTTATTTCTTAAATAATCATATAAACTAATATTTGCTTGGTCCGCCATTATTTTTTATGACTTCTGCTATTCTTTTAGGTAAGCTATGTACTAATCTTTCGCATATAGTAGGTGATATTTTCTCCCATTCTTCGAAAATCGCTTTCTTGAGCTCAGTAATTGAAGTGCACTTGCGAGCGCGGACATGTTTCTTCAAATGAGCCCATAGATGCTCAATTGGATTGAGATCTGGACTCTGTGGTGGCCATTCAAATTCGTATTATTCGAAGTCGAAATGCACACTAAACAGTTTTGTACATATTATCATTTCTCTAAGAAACTTATATGCCTCAGTTGCTTGACCTTCTCACAAAGTCAGTAGCATGAAAACAACACGCAAATAGAGAGCTTATGCACATTCAGTTGTGAAAAATTTAGAAAAAGCAAGGGTGCCTAATAATTTTGTCAATGGCTGTATACTCTAGAGATTTATAATAGAGATTTATAATAGATTTATAATATAATTTTAATCTAATTAATTGAGCTCCTACGTTGAGCTTGTTGGCAGTTATTGGAAAATTTCCTATTTTTAGGTTCAAAAGAAGGTTTCTAAATAGAAACTGTAGAAGATTAAGTAATGTTAAAATCGTACTTAATCTTCTACAGTTTCTATTGAGAAAATTTCTTTTGAACCTAAAAATAGGAAATTTTACAATAATTGCGAACAGACTCAACGTAGGAACTCAATTCATTAGATTAGAACCTATTATAAATCTTTGGAGTCTACATACGTCCTAATTATAAATCTTTAGAAGCTACATACTCGTACATCCTAAAACTATGGTTCAAAGTGGAAGCAAAATTTTAACTTGGGGAAATTTATCCGTCAAGTTACGACGTATAAAGAAAACGAATCTCTGCAAGGTAAGTGAGAGAGAGGGAGAGAGAGAGAGGGGGGGAGAGAGAAAGAGAGAGTCTGAGTGTGCGTACGTGCATGTGTGTGCGTGTGTGCGGGCGTTTATTATGTGAAATCTAATAACTCTATATCCTTAGACGGCTGAATGAGTGCCCCTTGTGGTCGCTCGCGTCAGACGGTGAGTGCGCCGCCCCTGCTTACCTCCTATACGCGACCTATGATTCGGTAACTTTATTCTTTAATAACTCAAAAAGTAAGCGTTGAATAAAACTTTCGTAGAGGAAAAATGGTCTCAGAATTCAGTCAGGAACACGTCTTTGCAAGGACACGGGTTTATTCTGAATCACCCTGTATGTATGTTGTCGGAACATGATTTTTTTCTAAAATGAAATGTAATTTGTCAAAAAGATCTATTGATTATATCGATATATTACTATCAATAATAAAAATTTATTATCATATTCGAAAAACTTTATGATATTTCAAAGAGTATCACCAAGAAAAAAATCTCTGTTTCAAAGATCGTGTTAAAATCGGAGAAACGAAGAAAAGGTTGCGTTCTCTATAAATTAGAATGGAAGAGGCCATTCTTTATTTTCATTATATTCATAGAATATTATAAATTCATTCTGTTGCAATTGAAATAAATATGTAATGTAAATATTTATTATAATTATGTAAACAGTTACATATATACTATTAAATAAAATATATACGCATATAATATATATTTTTATATACATATATTTATTATATATCTATATATGTAATTATATATTTATGTATGTATATACCATATATTTCAATTTTTTTTAACTGTATTGCATAAATTGTAGCTTATAGAAAGTTACGTGATAAGAATCGGAAATATATACATTTGTGATATTTGCATTACTAGAAAGCTGCCTCGTATATCTGTACTCTGAAAAGTAGATGATATCCCTAAAAAATCATAAAAATGAAAAGGTCAGACTATGTTCAAAAAAAATCCTCAAAAATTTAAACGTTTATAAATTTAAATGATTATCTAAAATAATATATTATCATGAAAAGTAACTGATATATTATTAATAAAGGTACCAGTTCAAAGTGAATATATGTATAAAGTATATCTAAATTTAATAATATATTACCATGAAGAATAACTGATATGTTATTCAAGATGCAAGTTTAAAATGAAAATACATACATATAAGTAAAACAGATTACAATTTGATTCTAGGAAATAGGTGCGATATGTTATTCTTAGTGCACAAAATATAAAAGTCGTTTATTGAGGTTTGGTTTGAAATTTATACTAGCCCGTGCAATGAAAAATAATTGCTTGTAATTCTAGAGTACCAATTTGTTGTGACTCGGAAAAAGAACATGGCCGCCTGGTCTCAAAAAACTTTCGAGAGATGGAACAAATAATTCAAATAAAAGAGTTATGAAAATGGTTTTTTACATTAAAAACCTCCCATCTTTCTTTAGTAAAATTTCGAATTTTCGTATCAACTTCCGATTTTTTATTTATTATGCCGTATTTTCAGCGAGTAATTTATTGATAAAAAACGTTGCCTTATTGCATGAAACGAATAAATATTAAGTAAACTCATAAATTCATAAATAAGAAGTTCTCAATTCAATACAAGAAGCTATACATTTAAAGAGTTTACTGATTATTTGGCGTAATATTCACTTCGTTATAGAGCTTTTAAAAATACGGTTCTAATGTAATACTTTTCGTACTTCAAGTAACACTTACTCTGTAAAAACTTCGACATTATTTCTAAGTGGACACTGAGAAACTCATCAAAATTTTTTGAGACCAGGCGGCCATGTTCTTTTTCCGAGTTATTACAAATTGGTACTGTGGAATTACAAGCAATTATTTTTCATTGTACGGGCTAGTATAAATTTCAAATCAAATCTCAATGAACAACTTTTATATTTTGTGCACTCAGAATAACATGTCGCACTTATTTTCTAGAATCAAATTATAATCTGTTATACTTATATGTATGTATTTTCATTTTAAACTTGCACCTTGAATAACATATCAGTTATTCTTCATGGTAATATATTATTAAATTTAGATAATATATACTTTATATATTCACTTTGAACTAGTACCTTTATTAATAATATATCAGTTACTTTTTATGGTAATATATTATATTATTTTAGATAATCATTTTAATTTATAAACGTTTAAATTTTTGAGGATCTTTCTTTGAACTTTTTTTTGGCCTGACCTTTTCATTTTTATGATTTTTTAGGGTGTGAATATTATTAGACTATTGTATAAATTGCGCAATTACCGTGCTGTGTAACGCTCTCATTATTCGTACATTATATTATTGTTTTTTAATATAATTATAATTTATATTTATGCTTATAATACTTATATTTATAATTATTTCAAAACATTGAAAACAATCTTTGTAATATTGTAATATTGAAAATAATCTTTAAAATTTATTGATTTTTCTAATTTCTTTCTATCGTCCTTTAAAGAGCATAGAAATTCCTCTTACCAACATTATTGTTTAAAAATATATTAATTATAAAAAAGAATTATATTTCTTTATGTATGTCTGTCTAATAAATGTGTTTGTTGAAGAATTGAACAAATGTTGATATTAGAAGTATTTAACAAATGGTTATAGGACAGACAGCCTAATCCAAATAATCCCATGGAGTACTGTTCAACTGTACCACCCTTGCAACAGTTAGCGGGCGGTTTGCCGCCACCACCAACGGTGATGGTACCTGTGGGTGTTCTAAAGAGAGAGGGTTCGAAACATCGTGCAGAAGGACAAAAATCTGTAATATTCAGTGATGGTAGGTAATCATTATTTACAGTATATTAATATTAATGATGTTCTTAATTCTTTCTTTTTCGTTCTTTTTCTCTTATTAATGTTAATTATTTTTGAAATAATTACTTCTATTTTATAATAAACCCAAATAGAGCCCAGCCTGTCGAAAATAGAATTTAAAGTATTTGATTTATACTATGTCAGCAGAATAGTAACAGAATTGTTCTATTGATTAGACATACATTCGTACAACGCTATTGAACAATTGGCTGGAGGAAATGTAATAGAATTTAGCAAAACTGAATGACAGACTGACAGAAGAAACAAATCTGGAGTATATTCTGACAACAAATTATTGACAGAAATTGAATAGATCTGTCAAACGTTGTTAGATTATTGATAGAAACCGAATCTGTGTTGTCACTTAATATTTGCAGGACTGCCGCCAAGTGATATCCATCTATTTCTTGTATTTAAAATTTACCGGGCTCTCTATATAGGATATTTTGCATAAATTGCAAAATAGTAGAACTTCTTGACTGACAATAAGTTTAATCCGATTTACCTGCTCATGAGAGATGATCCTATAGATCTGGGATATCTTGTATATTAATATCTTTTAATAAAACAGTTTAAAATTATTTCCTTAGGCGAATTTACTTGGTTTCTGATGACAACCTGCTATTAGATCTTGTAGATTGTAGACAAGTATTATTATCACCAGTTTTGTTCTAATTTTGTGACAAATTGCTAACAGGCTGTCAACATTTTGTTACCTGATAAATACACACATAGGAAAGTATTTGAATGCTTACATTTTTAACATTTATGAATGAAATATGTATTTCAAATTGAAGCATTTAAAATAATATGTCAAGAGATGCGATATTGTCGATTAGCCTCGGTAGTCTTAAAGGTTTAGGACTCTCGTACGGAATACGGGAGATCCGGGTTTGACTCCCGGCCGAGGTTTTCGCAATAAATTTATTTACAGTTTTTCATTATCTTTCTAATATGATACCGGATTGAGCATCAAAATTATTAAAATTTATTTATCAATTTAATTTACTTTATGATATCATTACAGTAGTTTAATTGCGTTTATAAGTACGGAAAACCAATTCGGCGCGCAGTTCGAATGACTACAAATATGGTATATTTGCATATACATGTGTAGTATATGTATATATAGTTCACATTGAATTATTTAAGCATTAAAGATCTAGCTTCGATATATGCTTTAATATTCTTACTTGTTGTGTATTCACATATACAGTCTTAATAAATTATTTATTATAGTTTTTATTGTTATTTATATTGTACATGCCGTTTCTTATTTAGTTATCAATAAATAATAGCCCAGTCAATCTAGCTGAATTTTGGGGGTAACTTCAACAATTTTGAAAGGATTTGCGATTTTTTAATATGTTGTAGAGTTCGGATCCCTAGTGAAAAATTCAAATTTGCAACCTCGAGACAGGAGCCAATACGCCGCCATTTTGAAAAAAAGGTGATAAAAATACGTTTTTTTTTAAATAACTCCTTTTCCGTCACTTCTATGGTCAAACTAGGTCCTACGAAAGTTGCAGAGAAAAAAATTTTCTACAACTTTTGTCTAAAACATTTTTTTGGACGACAAAAAGTTCACGAATTATTGTAGTACAAAATTGAGAAAATATAGAAATTCGTTCACTTCTATTCGAATGTTTTGAAATTTCTGACAATCCAGACAGCACGGAATATTTATGATATATATTTATTATTCTTTATTTTTTCAAATGTTATATAAATATTTTATACATGTTTTATATAAAGCATACTAATTTTAATACTATTTATAATAAATATTTATTGTCTGTGCAATCTAAGACCACAAAAAATATTTACAAAGTATTCAAAATAAGTCTTATAAATATTTACGAATATGTTGTAAATATGTTAGAAATATTGGGTCTGTCTTAGAAATGCGGGTCAGGTAGTCTAGTCAGACACGTTTATAAGGTTCGATGGTTTTCCCCTTTTCCTTTATACGAAACATCTGTCCTTTGTGTTTTATAAAACAGTGTTAAATGGATAATAAAAAATATGTTAAGTGAATATTTAGAGGACGTTTGTATGTTTTAAAGTATGCTATTGGGGTTTTTTCTACAGAAAGAAAATGAGTATAAATTAATTTATACTTATTTTTACTTTACTTCTGATGTATTTTCATTTTTATCGTGCTTTTTTTTATAGGAGTTCTTATTCCTTTTAATAATGTCGGTATAGGCATATGTCCTTCAATTTTGTGTATATCTTGCGTCGAATTTACTATTAAGTATACTGGATCTATCATTAAATCAGAAAAAAAGATTATATCATATAAAATTGTAAATATGTTTATATTATTATACATTATACTATGTTTATATTACTTTGTTATGTGTATATTATAAACATAAAAAACATGTTTATATTATATACTGTAACATTTCATATAGGTGATAATATACGGGGTCCTAATTTTTTAAATAATGCATTACGATTTCGAAAACTATGGTAGATATGGTAAAATGTTTCAAACAAAAGTTGTATGGTTCGGAAGGAGACATAAGAAAATACCATTGATTTGACTTTGAATAGCGTCGTTAAGGTCAGGTCAGATCACATCGATTTTAAATCGAACTCTATATTTCTTATTCCAGAATCTAATAACTGATAGCAAGAGCTTTTCAAAACATTATAATAAAGTTATTTTTCATTATGTACTTTTTGAGTAAGGCTTGAAAGTTATAGTATCGCCAGTATTAGCATTACGCAAGGAGTCCGATCGATGGCTAAAACCTCTTAAATGTTGTTCAGAACCATGTCTTGGATAACATTTGTCAAGATCAAAATCATTGGAGGTTGTACCTCTTATTTTCATTTTACGTAAAAATTCTTACAAAAATGAAAATAAGAGATATAACCTCAAATGACTTTGATCTTAACAAATGTTATCATACAACTTTTGTTTGAAATACGTTTCTGTGTCTACCATAATTTTCGAGAAATCTTAATGTATTATTTAAAATGGGACATCCTGTATATATTTAACATATGCTTATAGTTTATTTGGTGTATTATTTATTATTATTGTTTGTTATTAGTTTATTATTATTATTATTTATTTATTTATATTTGTTGTTATTAATTAATATTTATTATTATTTATTATTGAAAATACCGAATATCAAATATCGATGTACGATTAACTTTAATAAGATCTGTTTTGACCGTAGGCGTGATGGGAAAGGAGTAATAAAAAAAACGTATTTTGACCGCTTTTTTCTATATTTCCTCAACTTTGTACTATAATAACTCATGAATTTTTTGTCGTCCAAAAAAATGTTTTAGACAAAAGTTATAGGAAATTTTTTTCTCTGCAACTTTCATAGGACCTAGTTTGACCATAGAAGTGACGGAAAAGGAGTTATTTAAAAAAAACGTATTTTTATCACCTTTTTTTTCAAGATGGCGGCGTATTGGCTCCTGTCTCGAAGTCGCAAATTTGAATTTTTCATTAGGGGCCCGAACTCTACAACATATTCAACAATCGCGAATCCTTTCAAAATTGTTGGTGTCCGATTCTAGATTGACTGGGCTATAACGTTTATTCGTAATTGTACAATATACGAGAGCAGGAAATTATTTAATGGGTAAACATTATCTAATAGTTTTGTTGACATTCCATTCTTGCATTCAAAGGAGCGTTTATATGTAATTATTATGCATCAGTTCTTCACAACTTAATATTATTTTATCGTAGATAAATAAAGATAAGGCGAGGTTTTGTCTATATACATATTTATTAGGAGTGTGATTTAGTTCTGAGATTTTTTTTTCTCAACAACTGATTTATTTAAACAAGATAATGAACGAATATCTTAATCAAAGTATTTTGTATAATTTTTCCTTGTATAACTCCCATTTTTCTGGCAAAATATGGATTCCGCGACGATAAAAAGATTCTTCTTTGGAATTGATCCAATTTTCAACAAATTTTCGCACATCTTCGAAATTATAAATGTGTATATCTCCTAGAGTATGTTGCATTGACTAGAACAAGGAAAAATCAGATGGAGTAATGTCTGGTTGATAATACGCGAGATGTGGTAAGACTTCCCATTCCAGCTCTAATAGCGTTTGCTTCACTGATAATGCAACATGAGGTCGAGCATTGTTGTGAAGGATCACTTTGCGTCGTTTACTCGCAATTAGAGATCGTTTTTGGTCTATAATGCTTGCTTCAGTTTGTACAATTGTTGTCGATAACGATCAGCGGTGACAGTTTCTTTCGGATTTAACAGTTCATAGTACACAACACCTTCTTGATCCCACCAAATACACAATAATATCTTTGAATCGTAAATATTGCGCCTCGAAGTGAATGTTGCTGGTTAGCCTGGATCAACCCATGATTTTTTTCGTTTGGGATCAATATAGATCCATTTTTCATTCCCAGTAACAATTCGATACAAAAATTTTTTTTTGTCTGGCGATCAATGAAATGCAAATGCGCAATCAGTTCGCAATGGCATTTTCCGATAACTGATGTGGAACTTATTTTCCTTTGTTAATCTTTCTCATATTATGTAACTGTTGTACGATCAACATTTGATTCTCTGGCAAGTTCTGAAGTGGATTGTGCTGGATTTTCGTTCAATAATGCTTGCAAATTTGCATTTTCCAGCTTTTTTGGTTGTCCCGAGCGATGATTGTTAACATTGAAATCACCACTTTGGTATCGTTTGAACCAATATTTACATGTCTTAATGGATGGAGCAACTATATTACTATAAGTTTCTATCAGAACTCTATGCTCTTATGCCGCCGTTTTTTTCTGATTAAAAAACAAAAGCAACGCATATCGGAAATGCTGTTTAGGAAGCTCTATTTTTAAAATGATATAAACACGATGTTTTTACTGGATCTGTTATTAGTAAATGACTAAATATCATGGAGTAATAGTAAAGCATTAAGAAACAATAGCTGCGATTGGAA